TGCATGGATAATACAACAATAAATTCTTTTGCAGGAAAGATTTATTCCCGCCACCTTTGACTGGTCGTACGTCTCCTGTAGTGTAATATCAGGAAACTTTCTGAGGTTTGTCGTGTGTTCCTATAAAAGGCATAAATCCGGTAACCAAGGAGTGGGACAGCGTTATCGACTGAGCTGCATGAATCTCTTGAGCCAGGCTTAACAGAACCTTAGCGTATCAATCCCTTTGTCCCTGGGTAGTGATCCTGCTTGTATGTGCATAGACCTTCCACGGACAGGCTCCCAGGCTAGGAGGTATGTTACAGCAGTATTGTCTCCGCGAAATTCGTAGCAGGAACTACTTATGGAGTGATTTCTGCGCCTGATCCGTTGTTGGCTACAACGTATTTTTGTGTAAAATTGATTTACATAATATTTCCATGTAGTGGTCTGCCTAGAAAGATTAATAATATTTTTAGATCAGTGTTGTGCAATAATTTAGAATTATTTCTTCCGAAGTTGAAGATTCGAATTGTGCATGTGTCATTGTTGTCTAATTGAAAGGTCTAGCCAGGATACGGTTCTGTTATCTCGGCATTAATAGAGAACTCATAACTTCGAGTTGTTGCGTGTCCAGAGATTGCTAGTTTTGGAAACATTTGGTTTTGTGATGCTCGATACTTTTATCTGTATTTCAAAAGTTTCGTTTGGCATCCTTACTCAGTCTTTGGAACATATTATGTATCCAAGACATAGGCCAACTCGTAGATCTAGGTATTTGGTTTTAAGTGTCCAATGTCTGCTGTTAGCACTTGTCTCCTAGGCGTGACAGCTCTCGAAATTACGTTCCTGTGTTGTGATCTGCCTCTACAGAACAGCAATTTGAATACTGTATAAACGTACAGCGTTACCCCAAAATATCGGGATTGCTGCATTGAATAAGTGTATTCCCCATTGTCTCCATCCTTGAATACGGTCCGTATAATTCGAGATCTATGCTACTCCCGACTAGAAAGGAGGCTTTTCTATAGATGGAGCTTCCTTGCACACTCTGTTCAAGGTGTTTCAATTAAACAGCAGCCCGTAAATTCTCTTGTTGAATCTAGGGAATATAATGGGCATGGAGACCGGGTATTTGGCACAACATAACCATTGCAATGCAGAACTCTGTAATACAGAAGAAGATGTTTTGGTTTATCTATATATGGGACGAATCTTTGGTGTCTGTGTCTCTCGTAAGTCGTATGACCTTGTGACATTTTTATGCCCTTAAGCAACTTTTAAATACACTCCTATAAACACAACACTGTTGTCTTTCAGCATACAATTGCTCGTAAACAATAATGAGCAAAATATTAACAGTGATTTTATCACTGTGACCCGAAAATTACGAACAACACCATGGTTTAATTGTTCACCAAACAGTGATGCTACGCGATTAAAATCACATTTTTAAATCACAGTCTCACATAGCCTAAATCTGTCTGATATTTTTTTTGTTAGACCTATGTAGATCTTCGTGCTCCATATGCTTCTGTATCACTACTGTCACTTTTCCCCTCCCCCCTTCCAATTTGACACAATTGACTTAAACCCCGTCCATTTGACAGGTTCCGACGAATTAAAAATTTGTAATGAAAAGCTGGGCTCCCTTCCCCAAATAGAATTATAGTTTTTCGACAGTCATAATTTGCAGTCATACATTAATTTCTACGCATACATCACATAACCTCATTTCATCGCCTACACGCATTTCAATAAATTTATATATTTCTATACATTACGATTTCAGCGTCTAGTGTTCACTTTCGGCTGCCAGATATCGATAAAATTGCAACCATGCACACGGCCAGTGCTGCCAATTGTTCTTCATCAGTAATTAAAATCACTCCAAACGCAGATGAAGCCCCAGTCACTGTTTAAAATTACAGTGATCACTAGCGAACCGTCGCAGGTAAACCTGTGATCCGGAAAGAGCAGTTTATCTCATTACTACTCTGAAATCTTTCAAAGAAGCCAATAACCAGTGGCCATGCAGCCGTAAGTGAGTTCATGTACACACTCGAGATAATCCACGTAGGATTTGTGGAGGACCCATCTGACAGGAGCAGCAATTCCTGTTGTTCCCTTAGTTCAATTCATAGTTATTCCAATATTCCCTTCATATGTGAAGTTTGAGGTACTCAGAGGAGGCGAGTATGAAGATGGCTGACTTCTGGGTGGTGTCGTGTAGTCAGGTAGAATACAGCCAACGTTTCAGAGGTCCCTGCTGCCTCCATCATCAAAACGTCTACCCGTGATGATGGAGGTAACAAAGACCTCAGAAACGTTGGTAAATTTCTACCAGACTACATGGCACAACAACCCAGAAGACAGATATCTTCGTGTGCACCGTCTTGAGAACTTCGAATCCGACGTGTCAGATGTGTTTGCTGCCTCCACCAATACAGAGGAAAGAACCCAGCAAAGAGCAATATTTCTTCCATATGTTTACAACGTGGTGACATTTCATTTATTTTTTTTTTCCAACACGAAAATAAATACATATCATATTAAAATGTCATGAATATATTTAGCTTAACACCAGACAAGATTTTACGTTCTCACGTACAACGGCTCACGATGTTTGGTCATAGAATAAAACATTTTTAAATATGTAATAGGCCTTAGGTCTAACGTTCGCTTCTACTACGATTTGGTGTCAATCTGAAACAATCACTCTCTCTGATTTTGTGCCTCATAATTCTGCTCTTTCAAACTCTTTCTTGATTCATATTAGATGTCTACATATTTACATATATAATCTTAATTTAGGCAACGCTTTATTCAGTTCAGTTCAAAATCGTTTATCTTCCCAACTCGTTCATAACAACATGAAATGAGTAGTTTAAAAAGCTGTCTTTGGTTTACTTATTATTTTCAGTACATGTGAAAATTTTATCATTCGTCCTAAGAAAATAACACGAATGAATAATGTTTGAGGGAAAAATATTAAGGAGAATATTTTAAACGAAGGCAAGGAAAGTAGCAAGAGGACTCGTAATAGATAAGGAGGACGAAAATCCAGTATTCATTCGGTATACGGAGCTTCCTTATACCGTCAAGTTTCATCAGCTATGATACAAAATCTCCCGTTGCTGTAACAAGCGATCACAAGAAACATCTCAGACCTGCTGAATCGGATATCGATACCCAGATCCATCCCTACGGAGATTTTGGTAGATAATTCTGTGCTGATTCAGAGCTGTTGGTTCAGAAAATTTCTCTGGTCTGATGTAAATGAAACTGCACTGGGGAAAGTTTCTATCTGGATTCTCTCATTCTGCTTTCCATCTGATTCTTATCGGCTGCCGTTTAGTTTTATTTCTGCGTATTGTTCAATGCGAAACCGTAACATCCACACTCGTCTCTTATTCATTGTAATTTGCTCATTTCCTCCCTTAGTTGTCATTGAAACCAGTTTCAGAACGCTGGTTTTTCCGACAAAATTTTTGTGTTCCTCACGGAACGGTTTGGAAAAATGTATGGGCTGATCTCATGCAGAAAGTTGAGACTGTTAAGGAACCACTCGAGTATGAGTTAAATAGATAAAGGTAAGACGCGGCCGGATAAAGGTAGTTAGCACCTGAAGTTTCTCCTAGGCCATTAATCATTATTCGTAGTTTTTCTCAGATGTTTTACACGTGAAATTTGCCTTAATGTCTTCAAAATACCTGACTTTTTCTTCGTCTAATCTTAGAATGGTCTCATTTATCATCTTTATCAGCTCTCCTGAAATCATTAGCCTCGTATTTCTGCACTCACAACTCTGTTCGTTCTCTTTACTGCCAAGAGTCACCAGGTGTTGCAGGTATTTGTGCTACTGAGTCCAATCTTTCTGTATATCTAGATATTTCGCTTGCTTAGTGACCATTAGATAAATTGAGGACTCTGTAGAGAATAGTGTAAATGCCAAACTTTATTCTTATATATTGTACCCTTGAGAGCACTTGATACATCTTCTGGGTTGTTGCGCATTGTAGTCTGGCAGAGGTATACCGACGTTTCAGAGATGCTTGTTACCTCCATAATCAAAGAGATCAGGGCGGCCATCTTTATATTTGCCACCGTGAGAACCTTATATCTCACTTGATATATCTGCATTGTTTTAGTCTGCAATAAAGGCGCCATTTTTTTAAAAAAAATACAATTTTCGCCTCTTACACTTTTCTCCAGAAACAGTCCACAGTTGTTAATCAACTAGTAGGCTTACTATGGATAAAATTGGCGTGGAAAACTGATCAGTACTTGTGTAGTTAAGTCGTAGATCGGTTATTCAAACATTCGTCACGGGGTAACAATTTACGTTTCGATTAATACGAGTTTCTGCTAATATCGAATGAATTCCAAGTGTCTTTAAGAAAGCTAATAATTAATCACGTTAGCTGCATTTTACTAGTTTTGTTCTTTATTTTTATGCATACACAAACTCTCAGCGTAGCTTTCATTGTTCCAGGGGGGAAAGAAAGATGATTAGAGAAGTGGGGTTACGTATAAATTATAAGCAACGTGCAGTCACCGATAAATTAAGAGCCGGTTAATTTTGCGCAATGCTTGCTACTATGCAGTTCAGAATCTTTTATTTTTCCTCCTGCTTTCTAAAAACTTAAGGACTTAACTGCACAATGCTGGAATTTTCCGTGATTTGTATGGGTCCTGACTTTAAGGGGAAAACGCAGATTAAGATGTTGAGGAGAATATTTAGACTTAAGAAAGATGAAGTATCGGGAGGCTGATAACAGTTCTATCCCGAGGATATTCATAATTATTACACTTCTCAAACGGGTGAACCATACCATGTGTCAGAATGCAGAGTTACTGATGTTAACGAGGGCGATACATAGAAAACCAACCGTGGTACGCTAATGAACCTTTGTTTTCCATAAAACAGAATTATTTAACTGTCTGAGCGACTGTTAGCTTCTGAGGGACTTTTAGTCATGGAATTAGTATTGTACTGAACCCTATCCTTTGTATTTCAGGTTATACATTAGGACGGGACCGATGTCAGTTCAAGCCCGGAGACATGTAAGTACTGGTGTTAACATTTTGAATCGAGGCTCATTTAAATAACATAAAAGTAGCTGTTATTACAAATATTTATGCTCTTTGGGAAAGTTATCCATAAACGTTTTCAGTCTAAGGCTTCCGTGGTGAGAACAAACAATTTAAGACTCCTCAGCCTACACAAATTATTTAAAATATGAATCAGCAATGGCGAATATTATAATTTATGAACCTTAAAGATATGTGTGAAGTATTGCTATTTCTGTTAAACTGTACGTTCTGCCTCAAGGAGTTAATATATTCTGTTTGGTTAATAAAAGTTAGTGGCGATAGTTGTGTTTACCTATGAGATCTTATAGCGTCCACTTGGTAGCTATAAAGTAAAACTGTTTAGATTTACGATATTTGGTGCGAGGAATGAAAATTCTATCTAGACGTAATGTTCGCTGTATGAAGGTAATACGGACACTTCTCACTGTGAAGGCGTTGATGGACAGGAGACGACCACCAGATGTTAATGACTACGAAGCCACGCTTCGAGCTGTAGGCTGCATATAGGCTAATATTTTGCTTCAGTTTTGTTGAATGAAATCATTAATCTCATGGAGCTGAATTAAGCTTGCCCTAGTAATTTCAGCTGAATATTTATGAGGCTTTTAGAATGAAAAAAGTAAAATTGCCTGAATGTCTAATAATAATAACAAGCATTATT